ATGCCACGGCTGGAAGAGAGGCTAGCCAGAGTGTTCTCTGCACTCACTCCTCAGGTCTGTTTCCATACTTTGAAAATATCCTCCTAGGCAAAAAAAATGTCTCTGTCAGCAAATTCTATCCCATTCTTTAATCTTGGTTCGCTCCTCTTCTGCAACTTCAGTTTCTTTGTCAGAGGCTAAAAATTTCCCCGTTAGACAAAGTTAAAAAAAAAAAAAAAAAAAGTAAAGAATTGCAGTCTGAGCTTTTCTCAGCGTTTATGTCCAGATTTTTTGAGGCTTATATTGGAAATAGTTACACACAAACACACACACACAAACAAACAAAATAACACCAACTGATAGCTTTTGTCCTATAAGTTTGCTCGGGTCTAATGCCTCACAGTGAGTCTGTTGTTGGTGAAGATGTGGTTACAATGTGTTCGGGGCCACGTTCAGCAGTTGACTTGTGCTTCTGCTGTGGGTGGATACGTCTCTCAGTAACTTCCACAGCCTGTGTATTCTCCTGGGCCATGGAAGGCAATCAGAATTCAATAGACACACTGTCACAGATCTCTAATACCACCATTAGCAAACACAGTTTCCCGTACTAGATGGCTAAATTCCGTTTCTTGAAGAACCCACCTCTAATTCATCATTTCGAAACCCTAAATGAGGAGCTGATGACCATTCCACCTTGTAGGATAAAACAGCCCCGAGTTTGCATGGTGTATTTCCTATTGCTGGGGGAGGGATACTAAACCAATCAACCGCTCATAGATTGAAGGCCAACATTATTCATATTTTGTGCATAGAATAACATTATGTTTTCAATAGACTTTGAAAGTCTTGAATATAAGCTGCAATTCAACGTTTTTATTGCTTGTCTCTAGTTAGTATTGAAAATAAGAATGCCATATGATCATCACACACACACACCCTGAAAAAAAAATCTTACATTCTATAACCATTTTAAATGGGTACATGTTACAGCCAGTGGGGTAACAGTTTTGTCCTTAAAAATTACAAGTATTATGGGTTAGGCAGGCCTTTAGTGTCTGGATTGGCAGAAACAGAATCAGCCTTTCCATTGCTACTCTATTTTCAAGAACTCGAAAAGTAAAGAATGATATCAACTCTGAGCATCTTTATGAAAACACCTTTTCTTGGTGTGAATCCACAGTTCTGAAAACTACAGTTAATGTTACTAGGCGTCTAGAACTCTGTACTTAGGAGGGAGTGATTAGCATTTTAAATCGGAGAAATGAGAGAGTAGAAGTTGAAGACTTCTAAAATCTGGTGTCTTCACATCTAGACCAACAATAGCTAAGGAAATAAACCCAGTGTCTTCCTTTTAAGTTTTTGAGACCACATGTAGTTACCCCTCAAAATGACTTGCACTGAACCCATCTTTAAGATCCAAAGTTTTCTCCAAGTCACTTCTTGGAGAGTAATGTGTTCAGGTACCAAGTCTGTCAGCAATGATTCGCTAGGGTCCTGGGCACTAATTACACCTTGGCTTCAAAATTGGTGCTTAGAAACATTTGGGGAAGTGGGTAAGATCTTGGACAGTGTACTGCTGTTGACAAGCCTTTCAAAGTTCTGAGAAAACTTCACAATCAACAAATAAAAATATCTAAATGCCAAGCCCATCAGGAAAGAAGGTTAGTGCTATTTTCATTGTCAGTTAAATAAATAAAAAAATATATGAATAAATAAATAAATAAGGCAATTGAAAGGTTACATCTTTCTTTTAGAGGTGGTTTGCTTCTTAAAGGTTAACTTGAATGCTTGACTTTAAAAAATCAAAATCATCAGCTGCAAATGCTTTAAGCAGTTGGGGGTAGCTTTTGAAGAAGAAAACAAAGGCTCTGAAATATTTGAGGATTACTTAGCCCCCATAAAAATGGTGCTTGTGTGTTTATATGCTTGCTCTTTGAATGCACAACACACACACACACACACACACACAGACACACACACACACACACACACACACCTCATTCCTCTTCATTTCTCAAAAGAACGCTTGTACTCAGGAATTTTCTGTTGACACAAAATAACATTTTAATAACTTGTTAGCTGTCCTAATCATTTGGTAGTACCCAGAATACAATGTAGTATGCAATATGAACCAGTATGGCCTTCTGCCTAGATCAAAATCCACAACTACACATAGAAACCAGCCATTTGCAGCATCTTCAGCTCCTGCTAAATAGAGTCTAACAATATATTTCTCTGTTCACATTCATGTATTTCAAAACCTAATAGCCCATGAAGAAAAGTATGAAGAATACATCTCAAGAAGCAGACATTAAAGGTGCCAGCAAAATAATAGACTACATTTAAGTTTAAAGCATTATTTTGGTGACTTCCATCATTAATGACTTTTTCTTTGTGGTGGGCATTGGAGGAAACAATGCAAAGAGGGGATTGGCATAAATGTTGTTTTCTATTATAAAAGTTCCTTTGCTGTGAGATTATTCATAAATACATACAGAAGGCTTCTCAAGTGGTAATAAAATTATTTGACCTTAAAAATCTACATGAATATTTGAAAGTTGAAAAAAAACATGTACTTCTAAAATGTATTTTTAAAATAGTCTACATAAATCATTTGTCATAGTGTGATATTTAATCATTACACTACGATAGTAAAGCAAAAGGGCATTGGGTACATAACAATCGGACAGAATTTCACATTTGAAGTAAACTTAATTTAGAAATAGTCAAATATGCTGTCTTCTTAAATACTCTGACAAAATCACAAAAGTGCTGTTAAAACTATCATCATATTCACATCAGGTTCCCAGAAAACCTCGTCTTTAACAAGAATGGAGAGAGATTATTAATGGATCTGTTGTTATTCCTAGGAAAACGAGTTAATTCTGTTCCCCTTTCTGCATTTAATGGTGGGCTCAGTGTCTAATGTCAGTTTAGATACTACACTGTTAATCAGTCTTAACCTTTCCAAAGCTACTGAGGCCAGGGTTTTAATCTCACAAATTTTTAGAATTAACAGCAACTCTTGCTTGGGTATTCAACTTTTTAAAATCTCAACAAATTTTGCAAGGTGGCGCTCTTTTCATGAAAGGCCAATATCACTGTTATAAACAGAACACATTTTTTTACAGTTAAACATCAATAGTCCCACTTCTATTAAAAAAATTATGTGGTATATTAAGTGCAGCAAAGTCTTTCATCAGTAAATAAGACTTTGTTGACTAAACATTCCATGTACAAATAGCAAGAGGTGGTTTTAAAGAGTATAAAATTTTTATTTTGTAATTAGCCAGTGATACAATTTCTTAACTTGCTATTGCTGTGAAACACATGTTAAGCTCTTAAGAGGTTCTTGTTCTTAGGCCTGTAACTTCCGGGACATACAGAGGACAGTTGAGAAGCAGAACCATGTTTCCCCTGACTTCTAACACATCCACACCCTTGCAGGCATAGCCAAGGGCCTGATTTGTGAGTTCTAGCTACGTCGTCGTCTGCCTAATGGGGCGATCATGCAAGCGACAACCAGAGACAAAGAAACCAGCGTCCCTACCAGAGAACCTAACTTCGCCGAAGCAGCATAGCTTGAAAATCTATCAAACTAAACTGCAAGAAAGACAATCTGATTTAGAGAAAAGGCGCTCTGCCACAGTCATTAAGCACAAGTAATTTAGATTTTTTTATATCGTCTCCTCATTTACAAATTTACTGTATCAACGCCAGCCAATGGAACGAATTTCTTAAGTAAATGAGAAATAAATAAAAGAGATAGAAAGATAATCACATTACATAAAATAATTCTCTTTCCTAGATGTATTTTGAGAGAACTAATGACAGTAGCAAAATTATAGAAATAATAATATATCATAGGAAGTAATTAATTTAAATTAGCATCATGTTTGAAAAAATATAAGTGAAACGCTTTATGGACATTTACTTTTGCACAAAGATGGGAAGCCTGGAAAAGTGTGCATCGGCATCCTGAAAATTAGTTATGGCCATCATGGTTTAATTGAAGACAGCAATTTAAAATATAATATTGTAAATCTACAATCCAGTTTCAGACCAGGGGATTTAATTGGGGGGGCAGCTGAACCCTTGAATGACTGCAAGTTCATTTGCAAGGCTACAGAGAGAGCCCCGAGCTTCTCACAACTCGCTTACATTAATATTGATGCTGCCTGTACAATCTATTTCCGTTATTTTTATGGTTGTTATTCTATGTCTGCAAAGGTCATTTAAATTATACTGAGGCCGAAAATTTGTTTCATAAATTTTGATATAAATACTAATTACACCCTCTCGGAAAGCCAGCAGGGTAGCGTTCATTTATCAAGTTTATATGACCTGCCATGACAGAAAAGAAGGCAAGAGAGGCTGGAGAGCTTTCCCGAAGATCCACTAAGGCTGGCACAGGTTGCTGGGGAGGAGGGGGGTGTGAAGAAGAAATTCCTACCACAATCACTGAGATTTAAGAATCTTTAATAAGGTACGAAAGATTACCAAACAGTTCTGGAAACTAAAGTGTACATACGAGGTTTTTTTTTTTTTTTCTAGCCATAAATACTGAATAGCTGTAACATGGATAAACCGGGCCCTTTACATGCGGATAAATATGGAAACTAGGAATTATATACATTGTGTGGTTGTATATTTTGCCAAAAGCAATGGACAGCTATAGTTTATATCTTCTTTTAATATCACTTTACATAAACAAATGGAACAGTTTGACACGTAGATCCAGGCTCGTACTATACGAATTGTTGACAGGACATGAAACAACATTTTACTGCACTAAAGTACTCAGACTTTGGGACGAAATGTTTGCACTTTATACAAAAAAAGCACATTAATATCAATAATATTCTGTTAGGTCGACGTGAGACTGTAATCGTACAAAGTAGTTCACATTTTGGTACACATTTACTAGAACATTCTCGCCATTCAGTACAAACAGTTGGCTTTCGGCCGCCCACCCCTCCCCCTCCCCCCTCCCGCCGGCCCTCCCCTCCCCAATGCAAAGACCACCACGCCACGATCCCACCCACCCACTCCAATCGAGATGTAACTATATACAGAATCCAACAGAACAGATTTAAGCTAATAATTCTGTATTTACAAGAAAGTAAAACAAGAAGATAAAGAAAAGCTGCAGCCCCAGAGAGCTTGTTCTGATCCAACTAGAAATTGGCCCTCAGGGCCTTTGGCGGTGTTCGGTCAGGCAGCCGCCTCCTCTTCCACCTCCTCCCGCTCCCTTCAGCTACCAAGCCTTTTCCCAAAATAGGAAGAAAAAAAGAAAAAGAAAAGAAAAGAAAAGAAAGGGAAGAAAAATGAAAAAGAAAGAAAATGAAAAAAAATTAAAGGCTTGCTGTTTCCTCTGTTTTACTCAGTCCTGGATTTACCGGCAGATTTAAAAACAAAAACAAGCAAACGTTCGCGGAATCGGGACGAGGGGTGTTTTGATTTTCAGGATTCTTTTCAATAATATTGTGTGCACGCGTGTGTTCAGTCTCTTAAATAGGGTTTGGCATGTTTTGTTTCTGATTTTAAACGTACCATTCGTTAAAATTGGAAGAGAGCGCGCTGTGGCCGGCTGTGTGGTGGACCGCGGAGGAGGAGGGCGACATGGAGCTGGTGGTCGGGTTGTCTGTGGTGGGAGACACGATGGTGGGTGGCGTGGACGACTCGTACCCGGAGCTGGCGGCGGGCGAAGGCTGTGAGCCCTGAGAAGAGGACTCGTGGACCTGAGAGAATAAAGTTGCGTTTTAATGCAGATAAAGAGCGGGCCCGGCAGCTACCCAAGGCTACGGCCGCGGTGCTCCCCCTCCCCCCGCCGAGCACCCCCTCCCCTAACCCTCCCCGCTCCTTTCAAAGCCAGGGATCTCCCAGACTCTGGGTAGACAGGACCAATGGGACTTGGGCTTGGTTCTCTCGGCTCGGCCCGGCACAGCCACGCTCCGGGAGGAGACTGTGCCCGAGGTACTCACAAAAGAAAAAAGAGGGAGGGGGCCTGGGAGAGGAGGGGGGGGGAGGAGAGCAGCTTTCCAGGCCAGAGTCTAGGAAAGTTCACTTCCTAAAGTTTGCCTGCCCACTCTGGGGAGAGCAGATGTGGAGTGCTGAGCTCAGGACCGCGTCCTCGCCTTCCCCGCCGGCTGCCCCGAGCAATGGCGGCGCTTACCGCCGCAGCCTCCGCAGCCTCGGCTCTGACAGCGCGGCCTCGGAGCCACCGCACTGATTTTTACTTTCGTTATGAAATAGTCACTTTAATTGGCCTCGCGTTCCGCTATCCTTCCCGCCCCTGCTCCCTCGGCCCAGGTCCACCGCACAGAGTGAAACTGGCGGCCTTTCCGCCTCCTGCGGCTCCTGCCGCCGCCCGGAAGCCGCTCCAGAGCGGCTGGCCCCGGCCCCAGCGCAGAGAGGGCTCCCGCTGGAAGGCGAGCGGCCAGACCGCGGCGGCGTTACCTTCATGTGTTTGCGCAGAGAGCTGGGGTGCGTGTAGGACTTATCGCACATCTTGCAAAGGTAGGGCTTGTCGCTCGTGTGCACATGCATGTGCTTCTTGCGGTCGCTGCTGTTGGCGAAGCGCCGGTCGCAGCCTTCGAACTCGCACTTGAAGGGCTTCTCCCCTGATGTGAAAGTTGAGAAAGAGATGGGTCTTGTTTAAAATAAATCAGTAGCTGTTTTCAAGGTTCAACAGATAAATCTGAATACATTAAAATGCTCGTTGCCCAAGCGTAGCCCTTTCGAGCTTAAAAATCTGGGGTTTTAATAAATCCATGCATCTGTAGTGCAACGATGAATATTTTAACTATACTTTTTAACGCCCAAGACAACTATATCTACATTTTATTTTTACTTTGTAGTGGTGGTATTAGTAGCAATACAAGCAGCAGGAACAGTTTTTTGTTTGTTTGTTTGTTTGTTTATTTGTTTTTGGTTTTGTTTTTCCTATTCAGAATAGCGGCGGCTCTGGATGTTGGCTTTTCTGCCCAGGTTTTTACAGAGGTCACCCAAAGGCTTCTACTTAGCTCTTCGTTCTAATTTTCAGGACCAGGTCGATTCTCCGGCTTTGCTCTTCCCTCCTCTCTCTTACCCCTCCCAGACGCACTGTACCCCCCCCATTGCCTCTTCCACCCAACTCCACTCCACCCCCTACATACATCACATTTTATTGCGTGATCTGGAAAGTGGGGGAGGGGGTTTCCATGCCTAAAGTTCTTACCTGACTGGGCCATTAAACCTAGAGTTCAAATCGGGTTCTCTTCCACCAGACAATGTCCAAATACAGAGGGCCATCAGATCCCCTGACTCTTGGGCCCAAACGACCCATAATTTCCACACACACACACCCCGCCTTCCCACCCCCGCACTCTCCTGAAGGCCTGAGTTGCCTGGAACTTGTTTTCTTATTTTTGTTGCTGTTTTGTTTCTTTCTAAAGCTTTCGACTTGTCGGTATTTTTAAAGGCCAACTCGGGAGCCCCGCATTTTAAGAACAGTCTCTATGCAGTGTAATTGACAAGTAGGATTTCTGCACCTTCCACCCAGTATCCTCACTCCTCAATTCCAACTCGTCATTTGTAAAATTTATGTCTTCAAATATGCATAAACCTGATGTCCTCCTCAGATTCGAATTATACCTCCTACCCCAACTCCACTCACTGCCTGTTTCTTTCTGTTTCTGCATCCTTTAACTCAACCTCAACTCCCTCCACCTTTTCCAGCAGAAGGGACTCAACAAAGTCCCAGAGAGGGTAGCCACCAGCAAGAGTTTAGATTTGTTTATAGCTGGAGCAACCGCTCCTCCGCGGCTGCTCTACACAGGCCACCTCTCCGGGATCAGAGCTTGCTTGTCAAGCGCTGGGCCAAGCCAGACCCGGCGTCCCGGCTTCCAATTCTTTTTATTCCTTGTTTGTAAAACCTGTATGCTCAGATCCTTCTCGTCCACTCTCTCTGTTTGTCTATATTTTCAAGACCCGAACTAAAAATCGGATCTGCCTGTCTCCTGGAACCTGAGGCCCAGACCCCAGTGAGGCAGGGTTTGTGCCTCTCAGCCCTTAACTTTCGAATCTCGGCCCGGGTGGGAGGTAGAGTGTCCTACATTAATTTCCATACCTGTGTGCGTCCTTTTGTGGATCTTGAGGTTCTCTGAACGCGCGAAAACCTTGCCGCAGCCAGGGAACGGGCAGGGAAAGGGCTTTTCGCCGGTGTGCACGCGGATGTGGTTGACCAGTTTGTATTTGGCTTTGAAGGGCTTGCCCTCGCGTGGACACTCCTCCCAGAAGCAGATGTGGTTGCTCTGCTCTGGGCCGCCGACGTGCTCCACGGTGACGTGCGTGACCAGCTCGTGCATGGTGCTGAAAGTTTTGTTGCACGACTTTTTGGGGTTGGCCAGCTGCTCCGGCTCGATCCATTTACAGATAAGCTCTTGCTTGATGGGTTGGCGCATATAGCGGAAGAAGGCGCCAGCGCCGTGGTGTGCAGCCATGTTCACGTTCATGGGCCCGTAGCCGTGAAGCTGAGGTGCGGCATAGTGCTCGGATCGCGGGCTGGTCACCTGGCCATACTGCTCCGGCCGCGGGTACATGTCCCCGGAGAAGCCTAGCCGCATCTGCCCGTTGACCACGTTGGGCGATGCGTGGCCCGCCGCCTGCTCGTGAAGCCCAGAGAAAAGGAGGTGGCCCGCGGCGTCCGTATGGCCGTGTGGGCCCCCGAAGCCGCCGGCCGAAGCAGCGAAGAGACTGTGCTGGGCGCTAGCTGCCGCCGCCGCGTCGCCGAAGCCCCGGTTGCGGAACAGAAAGTCCCGCGTAGAATTGAAAGCTGCGCTGGAGTAGGAGCCGACGTGGCCCGGGTGGTGATGGTGGCCCAGGGCCGCAGCAGCGGCGTAGCCGGGCGCCTGCGACGTGAAGGCTGTCTGGCCCGCCGAGGCCAGTTCGTGCGAGCTGGGGTTGAGCTTGAAGGCGCCCATGCCGTCGGCGAACGGGTTGATACCCAGGCCCACGTCTCGCTCGGCCACGTCGCCCGCCGAGTGGTGCCGGGATGCGCCGAAGGTGGTCACACCGATCGCGGGATACTGGGGGCCGGCGTCCAGGAGCATCGTGGCTGCACGGGGCAAGCCCCGGCCTCCCCCGCCCCCCCCACCCTCACCCGCCAAGGAGGGAAGATCAGGAGGAGGAGGAGGAGGAACGGGAGGCGGAGGAAGAGGAGGAAGAAGAGGAGGAGGGAGGGGGAATCGACCCACCTAACGAAGTCTTAGCCAGCAGGCAGCGGCCAGGCGCAAGCCGGCGCCCGCCCGGCCAAAGGCACGCAAGCCGGGTGACTGCCGGCCGGTAGAAGGCGGGCTCCGGCGCCTGCCGCTCCAACCGCGCCGGCCGGGCTCGCACTTTCTCGCCGCTCAGTCTCTGCCGAGAGGGCCTCGAGTCAAGGCTGCCCGGGGAAAGGCATAGAACATCTCAGCCCCCCAATAAAACTTCTTCCCGGATTTGTGGCATAGAGGAATGTGAGCGCGAGAGCCGCCTCTGCTCGCCCTGTCTCCTTCTCGCGCAGCGCGCCCCTCCTCACTTCTCCACTAGTCTCTCTCTCTCTCTCTCTCTCTCTCTCTCTCTCTCTCTCTCTCTCTCTCTCTCTCTCTCTCTCTCTCTCTCTCTCTCTCTCTCTCTCTCTCTCTCTCTCTCTCCTTTCTCTCAGGATCTCCTCCTCGCTCTTTCACTCTCCCTTTTTCCCCCTCTCTGCTTTTTGAAAAAAAAAAGGGGGGGGAGAAAAAGCAAAGAAAAGGCGCAAATCATGCACAATATTGTCTTTTGCGGTTTATCTTCCTGGGGAGAAACTTTCACCTCCTCAGCCGGGCGGTGAGCGCGAGACTGATAGCAGCAATCATTCCTGCAGATAAATGAATTGAAAGGACGACACCGTCGTCCCCCCCCCCCCTTGATGAATGGGAGCAGGGGGAGGCGTCACGTGCGACCGACGCGGGCGACGATTGGTGAGGCGGCAATCCCCCCACACACCCCTCCCGAGGCCGCCGCGCCAACGAAGGGCGCGCGGTGGCGCCGCGCGCTGCTCATTGGCCCGCCCGCCTCATCAATCCCAGGTATTGTAAAGCGCTTGACATCCCCTTTTGACTAACAGGGCTGCCAGGAGTAGCAACTTTTTTTTTTCCTGGCAAATTTTTCCCCCTCTTCTCACGGAAAAAAAAAAAAAATGCCACGATTCCTTTTCCCTCTCATAGTCTCTCTCTCTCTCTCTCTCTCTCTCTCTCTCTCTCTCTCTCTCTCTCTCTCTCTCTCTCTCTCTCTCTCCTACCCTCCCTTTCTTGTTCCCCCCTTCTAAGTTCTCCCCCCTTTCACTCCCTCTTTCTCTTTCCCTCCCCCCTCACATTACCCCCCCCCTTCCTCTCCTCATCCCTCTGCCCCTCTCCTTCAAACCTCCACTGAGCGATTATAGACTAGAGACCCCCGGCGTCTCGTAGTGCAGCAGTTGGGGACCAGCTGATAAACACCCCAAAGGCACTTCCAGAATGTCCCGATTCAGCAACTTTCTTTTCTCCCTCCCTCCCCCTTCTCCCCCCTTCAAGGGCAGCAAAGGAGGCTTTTGTTATTTGCTCCTTTTGAAGTTTGCTTCCTTTTTGCCGGGCCTCTCTCCTGTTTATAATTTAAGATTCGGGAGCGCGAGGGCACTCCACTCTCTTTCCTAGAAACGTGATTTCTCTGTGTCTCCCGTTAGCCTCAGTTTCCCAGGCTTCCTTCCTGCGTGCCCACTCACCCCCAAACACAGGTGGATGGAGCTCTTAAACTTTTCCCGGTTCCTGAGGTTTGTCGGGTTGGGTTTTGTTTGTTTGTTTGTTTTTGTTTGGTTGGCTTTTTTTTTTTTAAATGGCAGTTTGGAAACGCTGTTGCCGATTTCCCTCTCCCCTCACTCTTTTCCCTTTTCTCTGGTCGGGTCCGTTGTCTGCTTTGCCCCCACCCCCAGCCCGCTCACTCTGCCCTCCAATTCCCATCCCCAGCCCCTTTCATTCAGGTAAAACTGTAAATTTCCAACGCGCCATTGTTCCTCTGGATCTCCCAAAGCTCCCTAGAGATTCCCGGAATACTTTTTTTGGTATTTAAATCCCCGGTAGATAGGACTAATGTAAATTCTGTGACATTCAAACCTTCTCCAGTTCACAAATCAGTCACCCTTGTCACAGTTATTGAAATTCCGCAACTTGCCACAACAAGACGGTGGAAAAAGCGGGCGCGGTCTTTGTTGCCGACCAGGCTTTTGATCGCCAGAGAAAATTTACTTACCTTCAGATGAGTGAGCAGAAAAAGAAATAACACTCCCTTTGATTTAGTTAGGAAAATGCAGACATTTGGATTCCGTGCAAACATACAACACTCGCTTGTTTTCGCGATGCGGCCCTCGATTAACCTGTCTTTGCCCAGCGCAAAGTCTATTCAACAACTGCGCGTAGTTGCTTTTTGTCCCATCCACAAAGAACCATTGACTATATATTAAAATGATTGTTGAAAGGTAGAGGAGTATGGCACGTAAAAGCAGGGGGAAAATCCCTGTAACTCAATCAATTAAACCGAGCGACATTTATACGTTTCAAAAAATGCTCGCGGATGTGGAGCCGGGGGCGATGGAGGTTGCGTTTCTCCTTAGCTCAGTTTTAAGCCCATCAACTTGGCCCAGGATTTAGCCTTAGCGCCTGCATATTCATTAGGTCTAATTATTTTCTAGTAAGGAAAACACAAAAAGCCAAGAGTCGGAATCCTTCAATTTGCCCTTTGTTTCTAACTTCATTTGGCTTCTTTGCAGCTGAATCAAGGCTCTAAACTCTTTTCCAGACAAAGGGACCTTCAGCTCATCCTTCCACGTGATGTCCGGCTAGAAAACTTACCAAGCAAAAGGAAAATGAAATGATTTTTCCTCTCTCTCTCTCTCTCTCTCTCTCTCTCTCTCTCTCTCTCTCTCTCTCTCCCCCCAGCTAGCTTCCTAGGGCTGGAGGAAGAAAGGTCAGCACTGGCTACTTCTAGCCTCCTTTCTGTTTGGTCGGTTTTCTTCCCATATTCTGGTTTGTGCACAGTGAAGTAGAATTAGGCTGTCCTTTAAAATCTCTCTCTCTCTCTCTCTCTCTCTCTCTCTCTCTCTCTCTCTCTCTCTCCCTCTCTCTCTCTCTCTCTCTCTCTGATTCTGAAGTCAGACTGTGGCTGAGGATGGTTTCCCTGTGTCTGAAGAGACTATGTTGAGCACCTGTGCTTGTGGGGCTTGAAAATAGAAATTCCAGGAAAAGGGAAAAAAAATCAAGAATGTTCTGCCCCCAGCAACAAGTCTGAGTCCAGTGGCCCAGCACTTCTCACATAATCTGAGTGGACCCCTGTAATGAGTGATAGAAAAAGCTGGAGCAGAAGGTGGTAGGGGCTCCTTTTTGACCTATCATATTTTGTTTAGGGGAAAAGATATACCAGAACCATTCAGCTCTTTTTGCTCCTACAAGGGGAAGTTGGATCCTAGAATTATGAAAATCTTATATTCAAGGAGATATTTCCTCTAGAGGCTGCACTGGTCTTTCACTAGGGAGAACAAATATTGAACCCACCTTGACTGCTTAAAAAAAAAAAAAATAGGGAGGGGACCTGAGGGAAGGGCGGCTGTTGGGAGAGGGGAGGGAAAATAATTCTTCAAAAAAGAAAGTCAAGCTTCTCTCCTCCAGTCTGTGGAAAACCCACCACCGAGGACGTTGACAGAGGGTATTTTTAGGAAACCCATCCAAATACACAAGGTAAGAGTAAGTGTGTGAGGGGGAAAAAAAAAAGTTGTGGGTTGTAGAAGTTATCAAGTGGGATTTGCGGCGCTCTCTGCAGGAAACGCGAGCGGCTCCAGTTCAAAGCCACATGCACCAACGTGACATATAAGCCATTAAAATATCATCCTGACGGCTCATTTCTGCTCCATCATACATTCCCTAACTGCTTCCCCGAAAGCTGGAGAAGGAGAAATGAAGGATGACCGCCTCGGTGGAACCACAAAAGAGGCTTAGAGGGATGTGTGGTCCCCCCCTCCATCCACCCCAAAGTGATGTGCAGAAAATGAGGTGATCCGGGCAACAGGTGGAGCAGGGTAAGTGCTTGAAACCAGGGGGTAAGACCGGAAGACCTGTACCCCCAGCGGCCTTTTAGCAAGTGTTCTTATGGGGGCCATAGGCACCCAAACCCCGCTGGGCGAATAGGCCCAGTTGGAATTTTTTTCTCCATCTCTGCCTTCTCACACACACACACACACACACACACACACACACACACACACACCACACACACAGAGCCACCACGGGTACAGGCCCCACCCCACTGATTCTAAAGGGGGTGGGGAGGAGCCCTTCTGCCGAGGGGCAGCGTTGAGGATGAGTTCTTTTTTTTTCCTCCCGGGAGGAGTGGGTGCAAGCAAGACAGACGAGGCTCCTACTGGCGATGGCACCCAAAACAGCTTGTTGCCCGCTAGTCTTCCCTCCTCTTCTTTTGTAAATTTGTGCCTGGTGTGTGTGTGCCCATCGTGGGCACAAGAAGGGCAAAACTTAGTCAGTTTTGCCCTTCTTGATCATGGCGGAAACCGAGAGGGTGCGGGTGAAGGAGCCCTTGCAGGCGGCCTTAATGCTTTTCCCTCCCGCAAGGATGGCAGGGAGGGCTTCGGTTTACCCTCGGCAGGGTCAAAGAATCAAGTTAGTGCTGGGGGGCGGCTACATCATAGAACTTCTCCGGATACTCACTGAGGATGCCGTCTGGGTCCGCCTGTGGCCGGCTGCCTGCCCGCCCCTTATCCTTGGTTCTTAGGATCTGCTCTGTATGTGCCATGAACCATGGGTTCGCGACTTGGCTTTCTTTCTCCTGGATGTGATTACGGGCTGCGGTTAGGTCTAGGGACCAGGCCAGCCAAAGCCTAGACCCAGGGGCATGTAACAAATTACTGGCAAGAGAGAAGGGAACGGATTTGGGTGTAAAAGAGTTAGTTGCCTGGTTCGAAGTCTGCAAGTTTGGAGTTGATGAATGGTCCACAGGGAGAGGTGGGAGACAGCGAAGTCTGAGAAATGGACAGAGGAGGTGGGAGGGCTGCTTCGAGTCCTGGGCATTCGCTGTCTACAGAAACTACTTTTGGATGTCAAGGCTTGGCAGTGACTCCAACCCCTGTTTCTGGGGCACCGTGCTTTTCCCTTCCTATGTTTAAAGTAAGGCTTAAGTGCCCAGACTAGGTTATCTGCAGGTGATCCCACTAGTTTAGACTTGACTGGGCACCCCGAAGGTTGCCAGCCTTCGGCCTAGAGCAAGGGGAATCTGAACTCATCTACCCTCTCGAGGACAGGAGTAAGAAAAGGAGTGAGTAGAACCCAGGCGCTCAGCTCCTTTTCCTGGTGCTTCAGGGCTGGTGGAAGGTAGCCAGGGAGCTGGCGATCCATCGATCCGAGCAAAGGCCAGCAGCGGCTTTCATCTTCTTCGGCTTGGTAGCTCTGAGCCTGCCAGGGCCGAGTTTTTCCGGCAAGTATTCATTCACTCACGCCTGATAGTTAATCAGTGTGGAACGGAAGTCACCAGCTTTAGTTGACCTCTGACCTTAGACAGGCCTGTGTGTACTAAGTCCACCTTACAACAGGCAGCCTCTGGGATTCCTCAAGTAAAACCGTGTCTTTTGCACTACCAACCACCCCATCCTCTTGTCACTATCAATCAGTGAGGCTCCCTGGCACCGCCCTCCCTCTCAAGGTGCAGGAGAAAGGCTGATTCAAATACATCCTGGTGGTGCTCCTTACGGAGTTGGTAGCCAGTTGGTAAGAGGAAGACACCTCAGGAGCAACAGTTTCGGAGAAATCAAAGAGCTTTTCAGATCTCTTATTCTGGGGACCTCAGATTCAGGGGCCCAAGGTCATTTCCCAAAGTCTTTCCTCACTCTGCTCTTTCAGCAAGACCACTGGCTAAATGGTCTCAAATTTTGGACCAAAGTGATGTTTGCCCTATTTCCCTACACAAAAGCTGCTGCAGAACTACTTAAGGCCCCTCTTGTCTGCGTTGGTCCAACCTTTGATACATTTGCTTGCATGCCTGTGGGACCATTTGTAATGTACAAAGGACATGCACATAGGCAAAAGGGTACCAGCCACAGACCTCCTAGAAGTTGGGCTGTGCCAGCATTGTGGGTGGACCGAAGTTTCTAGGGAAACTTACACCCCTTTTCCCCAGAAGCAAACAAGTAAATTTTATTATTGCCAGCCAACCAGGAACTGTGGTGCCAGATATCCCGCCACGAGGACATTCAGAGCAAAGACACCCAGCTCGCTGCCCTTCTGTAAGAATGCAAAGTTGGGCCTCCTTTTTCTCTTGGTCTGTGCTAAAAGGAGCTTGTTACCTTTATGGAAGGATTTTGTTGTTGTTTTTGTTAGAAAGAATTGAAAACAATTTCTCCCTGGGAACAGGTGAGTATACTCAGGCCCACGCCTGGGAAAGGAAAAAAAAAAAAAGGATAAAAACCTTAGGGTATTTTGGTTGGGTCTGAGTGAGACGTGAGGGAACATAAGAAATTAGAGACCCTGTATGACACTGCAGTCCCACTTGGATTTAGCCTGTGGGTCAACAAGTTAAATAGCCACTTGTCCTGTGGGCTAGAGTGTCAAGACAAGCTGACGTCCCATTGACTGAGGTCTTGCTGTGTTTGTCCAGCCTGAGACCTTTTTCAATGGCTGTTTGTCCTTCCTCACTAAATTTAGGGTCAGTGCTAGGTGGATTGCCTGTTTGGCTGCTCCACTGTCTTCAGTCTCGCCTAGTGGATGCAGAGGTCCTCAGAATGCTTCCAAGGATATATGGCTGCCGAATGCCTGGGAGCTCCAGCCACTGACAATCTTGAGAGGGAGGCATTATTTCTAAACTTTTCAACTACAGCTAAGGGGCAACTTGGCACCAAATAACAACAACAACAAAATGATACTTTTTTAACCTGGTGGATTTAACATTAGCTTTGAAAAATGAGTCAGTGGCAGCTCTCAAGTTGGTCTGGAGGTGGGGGTGGAACATATGAGACTAAAGAATTATTCACTACTACAGACAGAACAGGATTTGAAAATCTGCAAACTTCTTCATTCCAACAATATAACTAAGCATAATTGCACACCCCTAGAGAACAGAAGGCCCTCCCTGCCACACCTCACCAAATTTAAATAACTGACTTGAAGAAATAATGGGGTTTTCTGAAACATAATTTCAATTTCTAGAAGCCACATATTTTTGGACATTGAATGAATGCTTCCACCCTCAAGGCAGAACAATGAATGATAAAAAGTCTAACTGTGATATTAGGATTTTTCAATGTTTTTGTTACCAACCCATATGATTTTACAAGAAACAGGAGTAGTCCCCAGAAATCTTTTTTTTCCCCCTTGTGTTTCCAAATTTGAAAACAATCAAAGAAAGGCTAAAAGATTGTTATCAGACTAACATCTTTCTTTCATACACTCAGGCCATAGATTCTTGCCACCGAGACTTGTATGGTAGTGTTTTACTCAGTTCTTTTCTTCTCAAGCAGGCTCAAACTCAGAAAATGAAATACAAGTCTTCCTTGGTGATGAGGAAACGATTGCGGCTTTACAGAAACACCCTGAAAGAATCAAGTGAGTAAAAAAATATATATTATAAATGGAGATTTGCTGAAGATGGGGCACTTTTTTCTACGTTTTTGTGTTTTTATGCATAAATTGTATTTGTTGTTTGTTTGTTTCTCTTTTGTTATACTGAGATGTGAGTTTGGGCACATCTCTGGAGTTCAAATGAAACTTAGAATAACACCTTGGTGCTTGATGCATTTGCACACAAATCAATGACACAACATCCCACCAGCAGCCTGAGGATTAGCCCCTCAATGCCTACTCATCTGGACGTTCTAGAATTAATATTTGAGTACTCGATCATTGAAACAACCACCCTTGACCTTCTGCAGTTCCTCTGTCACATTATTCTATGACATATTCATCTTGAATTCATTTCCAGACAATTTGATTGGGATGAGGTTTGACATGTATTGGCTTCCATGAAAGAGGCGGACTTTGATCTTGGTGATGGGGTTTACATGATATGCATCATCTTTACCAGGGGCACCAGCCTTCTGCAATGTGGCAGTGACTATGTTCCCACAATGTGGTGTCTGAACCAAGAGTGACTGACAGCCACTCTGTCAGAAATACCTTCATTGTGAGGAATTTAATTTCATATTCCATTTAGAATAAGCATAGGATTTAAGGCTGGCATTTTCCCCCCTTCCAGGCATCTAATTTTTCCTCATTTTAACTATACAACTCCGTGTTTTCTCCGAAGATGTTCCCCTTATTGGTATGCAAGGCAAGCTTCTTAACAGAAGTTAAATAAGTTAGGAAATGACTCTATTCTACTACTTGGGATGATTTTATGGTAGAAGTCAAAAGAGAGGTGCAATTATTATATACATTCAGTATTTTGATTCCTTAATGCTACCATGAATGTTCTTATAGCAGCAATCTTTTGTTAAAAAGACATTTTGCAGTAACATTGCTTGGGAATTAAATTACATCTAAGTATATTTTTTTGATACTCTCAGTTCCATTAATGATGATTAAAGCCCAAATTTCCATAATTAGGAAAATTTTCCTCTTCTAAAAAAACCTGACAGACCTCACCTCCTTTGCATAATTTGGGATTGGACATATGGCAGGCTTCTGGGGCTTAAATGATTTCTTTTCACAAGACTTGAGATGCTTCCCACTGCAGGAATCCTGAAGTCAGTGGATAGCCTCTTCAGAGATACACACCTAATTTTGAGTGGCACCATGGTCAGAAACGGGGGGGGGGGGGGGGCAAAAAAGAACTGAAGAAGTGTCTGCAGATCTAGCAGCAGGACATTCAAATGACAGAGGCTGCTTGGCCTGGCTCTGAGCCATGGACCCTCAACTTAATAGATAATCATAATTTAGTATTGTTTCAAAGATCAAGATGGAAAAAACAGCCCAGCTCTTGATGCCTAATCTCCATCCTTCCAACTTCCCAAGAAGAGAGGTCAGACATTTCAGCTAGTGAGGCTCGGAGTCCCAACAGATGGACCAGCTACCCTATTTCTAGAAAGTAAACTAGAAATCATTTATTTATGCCATCGGTGAGTGGCTATTGTGAGCAAAACTGTTCAAGATATGATTCTGGGCATTAATTTTCAGAGAATCTGGAAGGTGAAGGATGCTGCAGGGTTACTGGTAGAATCTGCTCCACATAAGCCCTCATGAAAGCTTTAGTGCTTTTGAGGGGGGGTAGCATTTGCCCCAAACACTCACTTTTCTTTGCAAACCAAGCAGGAAGCTCCTGAAAGCAAGCTGAACCCAAGTGAAGATTAGCACTTCTGACCAATTTGCAGTTTTCTGAAACTCTGAAACTCTGTCCAGAGACATCAAAAAGACCTTTGGGAAGACTAAAATATACCTCTTGGACATTGGCATTACATGACTTGTCATATCTGATCAGCTTGAGACTGTTTTGGAGTTTATTTTAGAAATACACCTTGAAGGTCCCTTACATAATTGCTCAAAGTTCTATGTCAGTAAATATAAATGGATACAAGAAATATTTTTCTCTCTATCTCTGTCTCTGGGGAAATGGACCTTAAAAGAATGTCTGGTCCCATTGTTATGTTTAGCCAACCGAGGTATGGGCCATATGGCTCCAAGAACTTTGCAAGGATCAGGCAGCCTCTGTGACCTGCAGGTCACCTGACCCCTGGCTACTCAAGAAACATCTACCCAGGATGGGTCCAGATGTTTTTAGTGCTTTAAGAGAAGGCTGCATCTGGGAAGGAGCTCCATGGGGCCAGGCTACTGTCAGTGATTTTGGCTGAATCAGATGTCTTCGCCCCTTTTGCTGCTGGCACGAAAAGTCATACACATGTTCATACCTCTTCAAGGGCAAAGTTAGTCAGACAGACTGTATACTAACCAGATATGTATATAAAACTTCTGGGTTCCTTTAGCCTTCGGATACACAGGTCAGTACTTAACAATTCAGGAGGTCTGTAAACTTGGATTTTTTTTTAAATCATTCTCTCTACAACCTGCTAATGGAAAGTTAACATTTTCTTCTCCTGTGAAAATGAGAAGCAGACACATGACTGTTAGGAGTTCAGCGTGCTCACCAGGCTTCCAAATGGTTCTGAAAATAGCTGAAAATGCTTTTTAAAAAACCCTGTTCAGTCTGCATTGTTACTCAAAGCTTCTAACAGGGGTTGGGTCACAGTATGTGTATTAAGAACCCACGTTGGTTCAAATAAAATAATTAGCAAAAGCTAAAATGGATCGTGAATTTGACACATCCTGAACAATTAATTGTGTATCACCTAGGTTTAGGTGAGAGAAGGGGAATTTTAATTCCTGGGCTACAGCACATGTGCCCCGGCACTCTCAGGTTTACTATCTCAACCTGAGGTTCAGATGATAGAAATAGCTGGGCCGGAAGGAACACAGTTTTGTTTGCAGCATGTATGCTCTGCTTTAAGCCCTTTGGGGGTTTAGCACAGAGTCACCTGAATACATCCTTCATTTTGCTCAGAGGTAGGACTTGAAATTCACTGAAATTCGGTAACAACTGTCCAAAGATGAAAGGGAAGGGAAAACAAGCCAAGGGACCAGATAGAAGCACCTCTCACTAAAGGGCTAACTAAGGGAAATAAAGGAAGCGGGGGGGGGGGGGGGGGGGGGGGGGGGGGGGGGGCAAAGCCAGGAAAGAAGATGGACTCCAGAGTCTAGTTTTAAAATTGCCATAAAAGGCCTTGGTTTAGGGAACACAAGTCAAATGTCTCTCCTTCTCCTGTGTGTGTGTGTGTGTGTGTGTGTGTGTGTGTGTGTGTGTGTGTGTAAGTGAGTGCGCTCACGGAGTCTGTTTGTAATTGCCTAAGTCCTTCCTAATGCAGAGCAGAGAGATACAGGCTATTCAAAGCTAGAGAAATTATTGTGGAAGTTAATCCCTTGCTAAATCCCTTGCCCCAAGCAGGGATGAATGAAGAATGTACCAAGCTTTAGAAAATAAGTCAATTATTAAAAATTTTAAAGCCTTATTTAGGGAGTAGAAATGTCACTCAGTTAGTAGAGGACTTGTTCAGCATTCATGGAGTCCTCGGTTCCTTTACCAACACCGCACTAACTCATTTGTGGTGGTGGACGTCTATAAACCCAGCTCCTGGAGAACAGTGGCAGAAGGAACAGAAGACCAAAACCATTCAAGTTCTAGACAATCCTGGGTCTCAAAAACAAAACAAAGCAAACAAAGCCAAAAACCTTTATTTATTACTCATGGATTATGATATCCTCAGGGAGGGGGTGAGTTCCATCAGTTTCAAGTTATTGTTCCATGTAATTTGTTCAAACTTCTCCCTCCTCTTAAAGGTTTTTGTTGTTGTTGTTTCAGTCTTTAGGACTCTCATAAAAAAAAAAAAAAAAACAAGGCTGTCTGTGTCTTGGAAATAATGTTCTATGCCAGGAAGGTCCAAAAATGTCCTCTGGCATTTTTGGCTATGAAGAAGAAACCGCCAGTGACCTGGGCTCAGAAAGCAGCAGATCCTAGGGCAGACAAGGGGCAGTCATTCCTGAACCACAATTGAAATTATCCTCAGTTGGTCTTCCTGGGCCAGCTGTGGTGGCAATTCTAGACTGAAGGCCATGGGATGCAGTCAACTATGGTATCCCCTCTGCAGAGTCCTAAAGATAGCAAGAATTAAGGTTAAAGCTTTGGCAACAAGTGCCCAGAGACTGTGAAAGTAATCCTAGTCTCCATTCATAGAACCTTCATCTGGCATCACTGGAGAGAGGTCAGGACCCCGAGATTAGTCCCCTCGAGAGAGTAGAGAGCAAGGACCTATTCCTCCTATGTATTTATGTGTGTGTCCAGAGCTGCCTTCTTTCTGTCTTGTCTTTTCTTCTTTGTTCTCTCTCTCTCTCTCTCTCTCTCTCTCTCTCTCTCTCTCTCTCTCCTCTCTCTCTCTCTCTCTCTCTCTCTCTCTCTCTCTCTCTCTTTTTTCTTTTTTGCCAGATTACCCTCAGGTAGATAAATATGAGCTATGATGAAAAGCGCCCTCAGGAGAGCCAGAAGTGAGTTTGAAACAAGACTTGTCCTCGCCTCTTTTCATGACCTCCTCTGGTTCCATCTCTCTAGTCAGGCTGGGATTCTAGGGTTTCTACTTCCAGGAGCGCTGTCACCCAGAGTGGGGAAGGGAAGGCGGGGAGAGGAAGGGAGGGAGGGAGTTGTCTGAGAAGAGAGTGGAGAAGAAGAGGGAGGTGGGCGAATAAAGAAGCAAAACAGGAAGGCAGAGTATGGTGGGGACGTGAGTTAGGTTGGGGGACATGAGAAGGAGGAAGGGGAGAAAGGGGGCAAGACGAAGTTTCAGAGGAGGAAAGAGAATACAGTGGGGTCCCAGGTTTGTTACTCTAGGAGTTTGCTCCAGGCAGTCTGCAGCCTTCTTTCCTGCCTTGATCCGGACCCTCTCCTTTGCACTCAAAGACAAACTTTCCAAGCTTCTTGGGGGGTCTGGTTACTAAAATGCCCAGGACTATGCTCAACTCCTTCTCCGACAGTGGTCATGGGCCATGCATGCCAGGCTCAATTTCAGGAGCCTGGTAGCAATGCTCAGCTTTCTCGAAGAGATGGGGGGGGGGGGGGGAGGGTAGGTGTACAGGAAAGAGAAAAGAATTCCTGCCTGGACCAGAGCGCATGAGCAGTGGAAGCGTGAAATGCTATTGAGGTTGGGGGAGGGAGCGAAAGGAGGGAGGGAGAGGAGAGGAGAGGAGAGGAGAGGAGAGGAGAGAGAGGAGAGAGGAGAGAGGAGAGAGAGAGAGAGAGAGAGAGAGGAGAGGAGAGAGAGAGAGAGAGAGAGAGAGAGAGAGAGAGAGAGCTGTCATCACTGACGTCGGGCCAGGCCACTGGCCAATGGGCGACACAGGCGATTGTTCTCACGGTGGCCCCGACCGCGGCCCCGAATCTATTCATTTCCTTAAGCGCCCTGCCGCCGCCTCTGTAGTGCCCGGGGTTTCACACAGACATTAAAGACACAGAAAAGGGGTGGGGTACAAACCCAAAACTTAAAAGAAAAACACAAAACAAACAAACAAACAAATCCCCACCACCCTTTGCATAAGTCTTTTTTTTTTTTTTCGGTTGTCCTTTCTCTGCACTGCCAGACTGCCTCTGCAGGCCGAGGTTCAGCAGGAGGTCCTTTCCAGGCCCAGTGGGACACTGAAATTAATATATACGTCTAGGATGCTTCAAAATCACTACCACTTCTAACGTCACCACCTCCAAAATGACCCCCCCCCCCCATCACCTCCATCTTTGGCCCGGGAGCACCCCTTGGTGTTGGTGGACAAAGTAATCTTGAGATACGGGTCTTTACACCTCTGCCACAGAGGCCGTGCCCCCAGGCACCCACAGACTCAGACTGGTAGCCTCTCCCACCTACCCCATTATCACTGCCCCTCTCCAGCTCATGGCTCCGCAGGGGACGGCAGAACTGCAGCCTAGCCTGACCAAGGCGGAGGCTTTTTTGGCTTTGCCTGGTCCGCCAGGTTTACAGCTGGCACCGACTCGCTCAAGATCCCAGCACCAACGCCAGAAACCTAGATGCGGCTGGGCAGGACTTGTCCCCGGGGGCCGGGAAAAGTACGAAGCCCACTCCACCGGTTCTCATACACGCTATTTGTCTCGACAACAGGTAGCAGCTGTGGACACCATGGGCCCCAGCTCGCCGCCGCCGCCGCTTCGAGCCCCTCGGTATTTCCGGGCCTTCATGAGCAACCTCCTCAGGCCTCCCACAACCGTCCTTTGAACGGACTCCTGCGTCTGGGGCTCCCTGGAGACATGTATGCGAGGTCGGAACCCTTTGCACCGGGGCCTACGGCCCGCAGCGACACTTTGGCAACAGCCACAGCCCTGCACGGCTATGGCGGCATGAACCTGACCGTGAACCCTCGCCGCACCCCATGGCCCTGGAGCCTTTTTCCGCTATATGCGCCAGTCCATCAAACAGGAGCTCATCTGCAAGTGGCTAGGCGAGGACGGCCCACTGTCCCCGCGCCCCTGCTCCAAAACTTTCAGCACCATGCACGAGCTGGTCACGCACGTCACCGTGGAGCACGTCGGCGGCCCAGAGCAGGCTAACCACATCTGCTTCTGGGAGGAGTGTCCGCGACAGGGCAAGCCCTTCAAAGCCAAATACAAACTTGTAAATCACATCCGCGTGCATACGGGCGAGAAGCCCTTCCCTTGTCCTTTCCCAGGGTGTGGGAAAGTCTTTGCTAGATCAGAAAATCTCAAAATACACAAACGAACACATACAGGTCAGTACTCAGTGCTGTCTGTCTCGTGCGACCCCATGGGACACAGACCCTTGGGTCTGAATTTCCTTAAGTTCCTGCCGAGGGGAGGAGGGAGGCAGTTTTTGGTATTGTTTCCATGAGCCAGATTTATAAAATGGGAATTAACAGCTTCTGCCCGTAGACTCACCGTTTTCCGGAGGCTGTGTGGGAAGAGTGGTTCCAGAGTTCTGGGATCCCTGTTGGCACACGGGTGCTCCTAGCTTAGAGATTTGATTTGATTTAGGATGTAAAGATTGGGCCCTGGGTACTGAGCTATATCCCCAGCCCCTAAAGTTTAGTTTTAAGACAGTTTTAAAACAGCATGGTCTCCCGCCAAATCTTAACGGAAATGGAGACTATTGTCTCACATTTACAGATCACTTTTGGAAGCTCTTTCCCCTTTTTACCTGGACGGAGGGGGCATCTGACCCGTAATACCTCCTTTAGGATTTATGGCCTTGGGGGCCTACTTTTGACCTGCTTTTGTACTGTTGGCTCCACAGAAGGGACAGTTTTGGGCAACCCTCATTCTTATTTTAGTAGAGACCCAACGGGACCCACTGCCTTAAATGTCATTTACTGAGCTGTTAAGTGAAATAGGGACATGTGTCAACCACATCTGTTAGCTCTAGTTAACGGAAAGCCAAGGAGCTCAGTGAAGGAGACTGGGGGTTGAACTCTTCTGGCCAGAAGCATCTAATTAATACAATTGCAAGAAGAAAGTTTTCACACTTTCAGAACAGCCTGTGAAGTTACATTAATTAGTTTAGCAGCCACCCTTTGACTCTCCTTACTCCTCCTCCCCCCCTCCCTTGAAGTTTAAGAAGTCAGCGTCTTCTCCCCTCCCCCATCTTGGAGGCGGGAAAAGGGAAGAATGATGCGAAGACCAGAAGTCCAGCTTGGTACTCCCGGGCAGTATCTTTCCTTTCTACAATTCTTTTTAGAACAGTAACCCTTTTAAGAGTCAAAGTTCCCGGTGGTTACAGTGTCAGGGGAAGAAACTTGCTGAGTCCTGCTACAAACTGCCTTCTCCATGAGGTTTAGGGGTAGGAGACTGCCATAGGCTGAGGCAAGACCAAAGTCCAGTTTGGATCTTGTTCTTGATCCCCTAGCATGTCTGCAAACATCTTGTACGGTTTTCTAAAACACGTTCTGAGATCTCTGTCATTCATCTGCTCCTCTTTCCCGGAGTTCTATTCCCAGGGACAGAGGGATGAGTATTCCGTGATTCCAACCCTCAGACTTGCTGCTCCAGGGGCTGGTTGCCAGCACCTGGAAGGTGGATGCACAATCCGGGGCTGGAGAAAGAACTCATCTTTAATGACAGGGATTTTGAAGAACTTATACTGCTCTTTGCCGGCTCACTGTTTGAAGTCTGTGAAGCAGAAAAATGGTTAAATTCTGAGCGCAATCGACCTACATCAGAGAAGCACAAGTGTGCCTGGCTGGCTCTCGGGTTTGCATGGACTCAAGGCAGAATTCTGCGCGTTCTTTTCGGTCTTAGTCCTGATTCATTACAGCTTGGGTTAAAAAAAAAAAAAAAGCAAAACAAAACAAAACTCCACAGAGCAACCCCTGTTCGGTGTCTCCCTCAAATGTCCTAAGTAATGGAAAGAAAAGGAGGAGGCAAAGCAGCAACAAAATGTTTCTCAAATGGCAATAGAACTCTCTACAAATTATTCATGAAGACAGTTTTCGATTCAACAGGAAAATAATTGCCTTTTCAAATATTAATGGCGTTTCATTTCCATCGAGTCGCGGAAGCGTCGATCAGGAGCAGATTTCTTAGCTGAGATTGTCCCGACTGTGACTCCCAGGCCTGGCTCTGGAGGCGGCGGGTGAAGAAAGGTTTCCCTCTGTAGCTGTGACAGAGACCCGGGAACAATGGTGCGGCGGCGGCGAGGGAGGCGCGGGCCAGGAGCGCGCGCCGTGCCAACCTCCCCTACTGGCGCTCCTCCCGGGACCCTTGCCCTGGGCTCTCCCCACCTTTCCCCGCAGTCAGTCAGCCCTCGTGGGGGGGGTGGAGGTGGGTGGGTGGGTGGGGGGGGGATACAGGCCGGTGCCCGGGCCGCTCTGGGGCGGAGTCATCGCGAAAACAGACCGAGCCACAAGTGCGAGAAAATGGCGCTGGCCGGGCGTCCTGTAGGCCGGCGAACTTTGTGCTCGCCCGCGCGGAAGGAGGCCTTGCGGGCTCCGGAGCCCCGGACCGCGGACCGGGCCGGAGGTTCGCGGCCTACGCGGCGGCAGCAGCCAGGACTCAGGTCGTTCCGCAGGAGGCAGGCCCAGCACGGCGCCGCAGGGTCCACCCTCCCACCCAGGGCGTCGCGCAGGGACTTGGGGGAGGGGAAGGGCGAGGGGTGGCGGGGGGTGACGGGGGGGGGGGGTGGGAGGGCTGTCAAGCGCAGAGACCAGGGCGCCTCCTGCAGCTGGGGAACGCTAAGGCCCGGCTGCACCTGGCCTCCCAGGGGCCTGATCACTCCCCGGGACTGAAGCATTTCAGTACCTGCTTTCCCCCTCTTCCCCCCTTCTCTGTTTCTCGTCTGCAGCGAAATACTTTGCTATTTTACACGACGAGACGCTGGAATGGGATATGTGTGTAGCTGAAATTTTTTTTTCCTTTTCTCCCCCACCCCCCCCCACCCCGGTGAGGGAATTCTATTCTTAAATTCTAACCTCAAATTCTACCCCCCTCCACACACACCCGAATAGCCTTATTCTCTTTTGTAGGCTTCTAATGATTTTATTTTTGTAAGTTATTTTATAAAGAAGAATGGGAAAGGAGGGAGGAAAGTTTGGGGTTTGCAAACGCTGGTGGAATCGGAGGAGAAAAAAACGGGGACAAATAGGGACACTGATTTGTTCATTATACATCTCCTGCACTTTTTCGTAAGACTGTGCCTTGTCCTGTGAATATGGCAGCGGGCAACATCTTCCAGAGGACCCTAGTGTACCAGCTGTACTCCAGCAAGGGTGAGCACTATCGGTGGGCAGTGCCGGAGAGACGGGATCACCCGCTGTTGCCCGAGCCAAAGGCAGGCAGGTTACGTGTAAACCTCAGTCTCAACCTGAGCGTCAACGCCGCGGTGGAATGGGGTCTTTGTTGGTTTTATCAGGAAGTCTTTCCTGTAAACCACGGAAGAAGAGGCCACAAAGCCAATAGTGGAGCATCTTGCTCCCCAATCAGTTGCTAGAGAGATTCTTGCACCCCTGATCATCCCCAAGACCGTCGGCTGCTTAGAGCACAGACACCCTCCACTTTCCTTTCCCAAACAATGTCAGCTGAGCCAGAGACTTGAAATTCTGGGTTTGGAGGTGGGGGGGAGTTCTTTCCTTTTCCACAGAGCAGCAAATTCAGGCAGCAAAGAACTCCTGGAATAAGGCTTGGCCCAACCAGTATTCCCGAAGCTTTGTGCGTTTTCCTGCCTTCCTGCAGTTTTACCTAGACCAGCAGTACACCCGGTGGTCAGAGGAGCCGGACCTGGCTTGCCAGTAGCAGGCACTCATCGAAGCTTGCTGCACTCAGGGGCTGCGATTTCAACAGAGACTTAAGATCTGTCTTGGTCTGAGCCTACTTTCCCATACTGGCCTCTGGGCTCTCAGGCAGGCGGGAATTGTCTGGGGACGACCATAGACTGGAATTGTCAGTTTGGACTGAGAGGGCCCCCCCACCCCCACACTCGACAAGGTCTCCGCAAAACTGACGGATCCGTACAATAAAATATTATCAGCGGCAAACATTATCTTGAGGGATTTCGGACAGATTAGCCAAGATTTGAAGAATGTTACAGTATGTTTGCCTTCAGTGAGTGAAACATAGAGGGGCCTCTATTTCCTGGAAAACAGCCTTTAAGGGGAATCATTGCTCAGAATGTTTCCCACACTACGCACACGCATGTGCACCCACCGCTCGCCCTCTCAAATCCTCTCATTGCCTTGGCACTTGCACAAAACCTACTTTAGAAAACACTTTGGACCAGGATGGAGTGTGCGTCCGGCGGATTGCTGGGCAAAGCTCACTAGGGCAGAGACAGATGGCCTGGGCAGTAACTTCAAATCCAGCAAACGTGACTCCTCTATCAACTCGATTCTTTGGGCAAAGGTGCTCCAGTCTCCACATAGATAAAAGTTGGAGGAAAACAACGTGCGTGGATCAGGGTTCTTTAGAATGGAAATGACTATGATGGAGTCATCGTTGCTCCTCCTCCTCCTCCTCCTCCTCCTCCTCCTCCTCCTCCTCCGACGCCCCCCGCCCCCACCCCCAGGCACAGGACGAAGAGGGGGAGGGGCGGCAGTCTGTAGGAGTGGGCTTCCTCTCCTCATTGGGTAGGGGAGGGGTGTCAGACCTAAAGCACACAGGAAAGTAATTTCTGACAATCTTTTGTGGGTCTTTTGCTGAAAACAAAAGAGCAACGGGAAGGGTACAATCCCGAGACTGGGACGCAGCCCACACCCTTCTAATGTCTCTGCGTTATCCCCCCTTTCCTAGGCGAGAAGCCCTTCAGATGTGAGTTCGAGGGCTGCGAGAGGCGTTTCGCCAACAGCAGCGACCGCAAGAAGCATTCGCACGTACACACGAGCGACAAGCCTTACATGTGCAAGGTGCGCGGGTGTGACAAGTGCTACACGCACCCCAGCTCTCTGCGGAAGCACATGAAAGTTCACGGTCGCTCGCCGCCACCCAGCTCTGGCTACGACTCAGCAATACCGTCCGCTCTCACTTCTCCCTCTTTAGAAAGCGGCCGTGAGCCCCCGATAGCCTGCACAGCGGCGGTGGCGGTGCGTGGCACAGACATGAGCGAATGGTACGTGTGTTCGGGCTCCAGGCTCAGTGGAGGCTGACTCTGCAGCGCCCCCACCCCAGCCTCGCGCCACCTCTGGGCCCAGTCGCAGCTACCACCGCCTCCAGGATTAGGGCTGCTTACCAGCGTGCTGCTCTGGTTTATGTCGACTTGAGTCTAGGCCCGGCCACTGAGGCTTCAAAGAGTAGGCCAGGAACGAAGGGAGGGAGAGTAGAGGGGCAGGCAAGCAGATAGACCGCCACTAAAACTTACTGGAGGTCATTGAATATGCTGATGCTAGATCTGTATACGAAAACATAAAGTGGTCATTCTACGCTCACATTCTGTACTCTCCTTTGCCCATGAAAACGATGTCCGGGATAAAGAGACTGATAAAAAAAAAAAAAAAAAAAAAACAACACACACACACACACAAAACTTATTAGAATTTATTCACAATTCTGACAACGGCAGGTGGCAAAAGTAAAGCTATAAATTTTCCCAGTGGGTGTGGAAGGGGGGAAAAGATTTTCCTTGAGGCCTGGGCCACTGCCTCCCCAGCTCCCAGGCACAGACGCTTTTTCTTTACCTCCTCTTGCCCATCAATCCCAATCGGAGGAGTTCAGAGCGCAGGAGGTGGCAGACAGAATTCCACAACCATTTTCTCGCAGCCCATTTATCTTTTCCTTTGCCACCATACCCTCTCCTGTTCCTTGGCTAGTCTTGAAAAACAACAACAAAATAAGCAAATAACAACAACAACAACGAAACACAAAACTCCAGCATTTTCCAGCCACCTCTGTAAGGGAGATAAGTAACGGGGGGGGGGGGGGGGGGCGAGGGGGGTGCTCTCCCCTTTCCTTGGGATGCAGCATACCTCCAAGCCCAATGCCTATCAGAGCACATAGATAAGTCTGTTCTATCAGACCTCAAATTCGATTTACATTTTTATACTTGCAGTGAGGAGTAAGTCCAAAACAATAGGAAGCATGGACAAAGGAAAGCTAGAAGGTTTTCAAGAATTCTGAGTTGTAAAGCCTCCAGGCTTACTTTTTTCAGCCCCCATCTGTTTAGAACCTCATAGGTGCTCCAGTCAGGGATATGGAGCTGGGGGATGCCATCACTGAACGAAGGTCTCCACAGCCCCCGGGATGCATGTACCTCAAAGAACAGTGTCAATTCTCTAATAGCGTTTTTTTGTCAGAAACGACACAATGTTAGTAGCTTTTTAAAAAAAAAGTTTGTGGGCATGTGTGAAATAAAGTGCAACAACATTGTAAGAGTTGAAAGTAGTTGATGTGCTGGTTATGCAGTCCTCCTGAAAAAAAAAAAAAATCAGATATTGGTAGAGGTAGAGAGCAAGGCCTCTGTAGTTCTCAAGGGGGAGAAACACGGGGGCTTGCTTCTAGTCTGCCACCCTCTGTAGGGAAGGAGGAGTTACCTCAAAACCCTAGCTGAGATTTAAATAGAGAAAAACACCAAAGGCAAGAGAAGGATGGCAAAGGAGAGAGGGCCAGTGCAGGCAGACTTGTCCAGATCACTACAAATCTGAAATTAATATGTGGGAGAGGGGAAGCATTTCTGCCCGGAAGGAAGGCCCTAGGAACTCAACATGACAACCTGAGCCCCTTAGGCTTGGGGGGGGGGGTTGTAACTCTGTGGTAGAGACTTGCCCACTTCTCATGAAGCTCTCGGATTATCCCCAGTGCCACCCAAAAGAGGCATATTAGATACAATAAAAGCTGGACAAACAAGTCTTAGCACGAGAACCCAGCTGCATTGTTTTCTATCCCTTCCTGCTCAGAATCCAGTAGAAAATTCTCACTTGGGTCCCACAGACCCCATAACTTCTGTCCAATAAAGCAACCCACCTTGGCTGGAATGGAGTGCTCACCCCTAATGAAACCCAGAAGCTTTCAAAAGCAGCTCCAGTGAACCTGTTGTTGAGTTACAACCTAGCCCAGAGGCAGCCTGGGACAGTTAGAAGCAAAGAACTTGTTCCCATGGGCAAGCACTAACCTTGCTGCCAAGGTACACAGAACATTTGTGGGACTTGACGCCTCTGCTGATACTATAAAGCTGCCCCGCCTCAAACAGGCTCCTTTCTTTCTCTCCTGTTTCAAAACACTTCGTTTTGCCTTCCACCCCAGTCCAAAATAACGAAATGAAATAAAAATATTTGGCCGATCACTAATCGCCTTTAATTTTTCATTTGCTTGTTACAGATGTTGCTTGCAAGGTAATCTTGCCCTGCGCAGCTGAGCGCCGGCATCTTGCGCCTGTGACATCAAAGGGCTCTCTCACAAAGCAGTGTTTCTTCGCCACGGTGCATCTTCATGGTAAGTTAGGATTTCTATGGCAATGGGCAAGTCTCACTGAAATCCTGAAAGGCCGAGCCTGGAGCCCGTCCAGGCTTTTCATTAAGGACATAATATTTACGTCTAACAGGCCTTTTTTCTTGTGTATACAAGTATATATTTTTGTTTGACGCGGACTAAATCATTTTCATTTAATTTCCGGTAAACAAAACCCACGCGAATGGGCACTTGTTCCCGATCATAATAAAAATGGATAATAATGCGAGGGAAGAAAAGGGCCGCTTGAATCGCCGCTCAGCCTTCTTTGTTTCTGCTTTCTGCGGTGATCAGAGGGCGTATTTGGGTTTGATGGCGAGTTTCTAAAGGCGAGGAAATGGTTTGTAAGAGGGAAAAGAAAAGGAGAAAGGTCCAATCAAGCTCGGGTTGTTCAAAGAGTCGGGTTTTGGGGTTGAAAGTGTGAGTTTGACGGTGCATCAGCACGCCGCGTTAGGCTCGCCATGGAAATGCGCGCGGGGAGCGGCCGCTTCAAAGGCGGCACACTTCACTGCGGACACTCTATTAAGATACATTTGCGCTGACCTTTGCTTTCACGCCATTTAATGCTGTCACCGTGCTCTCCAGTATATACTTCCTCCCAGGACCTGTCTTGCCAGTGTTTAGGGGTTCACCCTGCACCCTGATTCAGGGGGGCTTTGGTCCCCGGGATTCTTTCAAGAAAGGGAGGAGGAGCCGGACTCCGAGCATCTTGACAGCGTCCATAGGCCCTAGAGTCAGAGTAAATGACTAGAGCATCCTGAGAAGCTTACCAAAGGAGCATCCCCCAGCTCGGGTGTCAGCAGCACAGAGCCCAATGGGAACTTAAGACGAAGGTGGCCAACCTGGGAAGTACCGGGAGCTGTTAAGTACGCCTCAGGGACAGTTAGTTCCACTGCATTCCCCAGAGGTGCTCTACTGCTTCCTCACCCTAGAAGTCTTGCAGCCCCTTAAACTTTCCTCTGATGTGCCACTGTGTGGTAGCCTTAGGTTTGTGAGAGCTTTGGGCACAAACTGAAAAGCCCAAGGCCAAGGGGATGGAGAAGACGGCAGCAAAGTTAGAAGTCCATGTTCTCTTAATTGTCTTGTTGTTTATTTTATCCAAGTACCCCAGTGAATAGGGGAAAAATAAACACGGTGGAAAAAAAATCAAACAGTAGCGTCTTCTTTAGTGCCCGTCCTTGTGGTTGAATAAAAAGGATGGTCTGCCTTCTATTGAGCTGAGAAATCTTTGAAGTGGGAGTTATTATCTGAGACATTCTTGCTTGTCGTCCTAACAACGCTGATGAAATGTAAAAGGTTCTTTGTCAGCGATTTGTTCTCCTCTCTGTCAAACTCACTTTGCCCCATTGGTTTCAAACCATTGCTAAAGAGATAAAATCAAATTTCTTAAAAGAAAAAAAATCCCTACACTCCACCAGTAGATAACTTTAGGGATAAGTTTTGCTAAGAGGAAAAAAACAAAAACAAAAACAAAAAACAACAAAAGCACCGTGTAGTTTCAGTCTTGGTGATGTGTGTGTAGATGTTGGAAGGCCCTTTGCACAAAAACTGGTATACTAGGTAATGCGAGAAGGTAGAGGCAGAGGGTAAGTGTCCCAAGTCTATGCTCCTGTGTTTATGCTTTCTGTCCTGGTCTGTATGCCATCAGCCCAGGTTTACTAACTGGATGGATTCTCTTGGAGATCTCGCAGGCTCCAAATATTCCTATCTGGGGTTCTTGGAACTTAAACTTGCAAACAAGTGATGCTTAAGTTTTCCCTTTTTCGAAGAAACTTGTGCTATAAATAGATCTGTCGTGTTTCCTCACCGCTAGCAGCAATCAGCACACACGTTCTGTCATTAAAGGATGGTGGCATAAGCAAGAGAAACATTTTAATGTTTCCTTTATGGTTGTTGTTATCTTGGAGTTCCAGAAGGTTTGGTTTACAAGATGGTGACCAAAAAGTGCATGCACATGCCAACCCCTTCCCCTACGTGCAGTTCTTCATTTTATATTGTGCCTAGAAAAGAAACTTTGCCCCTGTTCAGGTCTTCTTAACTTCCTGCTGTAGTTCTAAAGGTGATTTAAATAAATAAGATTGTGCCCATCACCCTACCCTGTGTGCTTACTAAATGATTTGTGAAGACTTTTCCCCAAGTTGTAACCCATGTGGTCGGTTTATAGTTGCTGCAAAATGTCTCTTATATTGATGTTGTTTGTTTACTTGATTCTCCACATGTCTATATTGCTAATTTATGGGAGAATATAATGCTTGCAATGGATGTGAACTATACAGTCAGGCAAGTATTTCATAATCATCACTAACATACACACAGGTCTGAGTCAACCCTTAGATTATTGGTACCTTGTCTATCCACATTGTGATTTGAAAAATCTCTCCCCTTAACAGCAGTTAAATTAGGAACTAACCTGAAAGAAAAAAAAAAGTTGTTGTGTGTATTTGACAGTGATTGTTAAATAAAAACAAAGTTGAAAGCTGAGGCGTAATCTTCTTGAAAACATGTACATGTAAGTTGAATAAAATGAGTTTTTTTCCCTCCAAAAGACTTTGTGTACATGTGCCTTCTCTTTGCTGTGTTATTTGGAAATAAATGATTGGATGTTTCCTTTTCCAGTGTCCAGTTATTGCTTCATCATCTTAGGAGAGGTTTGGGCCTCTCTTACAGCTGCTCGTCCTTTTCCCCATCTTTCTTCATGGTTCAGCAGGATTCTATTTGGGCCTACCCACTTGAGATAACAAAATAGGAGACCTGACGAAACAAGAAACAACGATTGGAGAGAGATCTCTCTGCCCACAATCTCACCCCGATGACACTAATGGCAACAACTGATTTACATTTCAGAAGAGAAAAGATAAATGGATGCTCAGTGGTCTATCTGGTGAGGATGCCTTCCTATAGCTTGTAGCACTCTCATGAATCACCTCTGATTCCTAGCAAAAGGTCCAGGGAGTAATAAGAAGTGAACAAACTTAGAGAAAGATAGTGAATTGGCTCCAAATCTGCCTAAACTGATGGGATGCTGTAGGCACAGCTGCTTG